TGCTGCATTCCTAACATGGGGACCTGGAAAGACCCAGCACTGGCCCCCAAAGCATTGAGTAGCCCTCGAAGGCCTCCGACCACGTGACTCCCGGGTAACACGATGTGGAGGGCCAGCCGTCAGGAAGCCCTGTGCCTGCTGCCTACCAAAGCTTCATGCCGATGTCTTGCAGTCAGATCCAAGCAGAGCGTTCCCTCCTCTGCGCTCCTCTCTCAGCAAGCAGCTCTATCTTCCTTGACGCTCTTTTCCCTCCTATGCCCAGCTGGTCACTGAACATCACCTGCACCTCTCGAACCTCTTACATCCCAGGCAGTGAGGGCTGCATGAAGGGACCACTGCGAGCATCCCAAGCAGAAGCCCTGTCTTCAGTTTTAGCACAAGGCTGTGTCTAGTGATGTCACCCCACCTGAAACTTTTTGATGGCTTTGCACTGTCTGTAGGACAAAATCCAGTTCCTCTTTGGGGTTTACAAGCCCTTCATGGCTGGGCCCCCGCCCCCACCCCAGGCTCACTTCTCATCACCTTCCTCTTTGCTGTCTTTAGTGTGGCCATACTGAACCACTCCCAGTACGGGAGGGTCCACGTTCTTCCTTCACTGTCCTTAAACTGAGCCCCGGTTCCCGAATCCTGCTGCCCTCTGAACAGCTGGGGCTCCTGTAAAAACTGTTGCTACCTGGCTCCCTGTGTGGACAGGGATTTTTTTTTTACTTTGCCAGAGGGCACGTGCACTTGTCAGAGAGAAACAGAGAAAGTGAGACGGCACCTCTCATGGAGAATGGTCTCGCCATGTTCCCTTCTCCTCCCTCTCTTCCTCCTTTGGAGACTTGGGGAGTATCGTTTTTGCAGCCACTGAGTCCAACACTAACACTGTGCAGTCAGCCACATACTATCCAGTTCCTCAACCACCATGCCATGAACTAACCTGAGGCAGGAATTTTAAAAAGCTTCCTAAATAGTCCTAATGTGAAGAAAGAAGTTATTTTGGACATGCACACACACGTACCCAGTGTGAGTTTTATGTTTTCAGGTCTGGAACTCAAACCACGATCGACCATGTGTGAGTCCAGTGACGTAAATTACTCCACCTGGTGGTCCTAGGGACACTATTCTTCACCCACCTCAACCAGGAAACCCTAATCATCTTTCAGGCCTTCTTTTAAAACAAGAACGAAAAAGTCACTTCCCTGACTCCCTATACCAAATTATTAGGTTGTCAGGACAGTCATGACGTATTTTTCTACGTAAAAATGTGTCCCGACTGTCCCGACAACCGCAGTGCCCCGTCTGTCTAGCTCCACCACAGGCTCGTCCCCTGCTCACTGCAGGGACCGCACAACCGTCACCATGCTGGGTGCACGATGAAGTCAAACCGGACAGGGAGGGGGGCAGGCACCAGCGTTTTTTGTTCTTAATTACTATTTTTAAAATTTAATTTAATTTGTTCATTCATTTATTTTAATTTAACCAGAGAGAGAAAAAGAGAGGAAAGTGAGAAAGCAAGCCACCAGGTCCAGGACTAGAACTGTGGTCGGCCATGTGGGAGTGTCTAGTGCCTTAAACATCACGCTACCTACTGGTCCCCACACCAGCGGTTTTTACAAAAGTCCAGGCAGTTCAAAGGATAGCCAAGTTTGTGAGGACAGGAGCTACCCACTGTGTTCCCGCCCACGATGGGCAGGATGAACATGTGGTGACCGTGGGGACACAGCCAGACCTAAAGTAAGAGCATTAAAGGCAGCAAAATAAGCTCATAGGCTCCAGAAGAGGAAGAACTTGTTCACAAAGAGCGAATCTGACTGGTTGAAGAGGGGATCACTTACCTGTTTAATGACATAGTGGATCTCTTCAGAATTGAGAACACTGCCTTTAATATCACTTGGCTTGCAAGGAGTTATTCCCTTATAAAGAAGGGGTGTGTAGCACTTCATGGCAAACTTCAAATCACTAACATGCCTCCTTTCCTCTAAAATATCTTCAAACTCGTCCCACTTTTTGAGTTCCTTCTACGGAAAAAGCAAACGAAGGAAGTAATTAGCACAAACTGCACATGGAATCAGGATAGGCGGGGACAGGTGGGCAGGCTCCACCTTCACCAAGATGGTCATCTACATCTAAACAGAAGCAGAGTGTTAGATGTTCAGAAACTGAGAACAAGAAATGCAATGAGAATTAGGATTAATACATTGATACTGAGTTATCATATTTTACCACTATCACCGTATTTCTGATTGCTATCTTTGTAAAGCCAGCATCCTTTGGAATATTAACAAAATTAGCAAAGATGAGATATTAAACTCCGGAGTAATATGACCCATTTGACAAGGGTTCTTCTGCCATATTGACCACCTTATTTTGTCTGCCACTACTAAACTATAAAATTTTAAAAGTACAGTAGACACCCAACACTAGGTCAAATAAAAGAAACTCGCACAGGCACAGGCCAGAGGAGGAAGCACTCAGGAAATGAATATGCCCACGTACGGGCCACTGAGCAGCCTCGCTGCGGGGACCACTTTCTGACCCCGCCCAGCCCGCCCAGCCTGCCCAGCCGCTACTACTCCTCTCAAGGCTGCCGCCGGCTTCCGAATTGCTAATGTTAGGATGGCCAAAAAAAAAAAAGCAAAATATACAGGAAACAAGAAATGGAAAATTATTTGTTGATGATAACATGTATGTTGATGTGCTCAATTGAGTCAATATACAGTGTATTCTGAATGGCAAATCTCATTTTGTATGCTGTACTGATGTATGGTGAATGTATGTAAATAAATACATTTAAATTACAAAAAGAGGTGCACAGCTAGTCAACAATAGTAGGAGGGTGAGGGACAGTTTTAGTCAGCATGTACAGTTGCTTACTAAGTGTCAGACACTAGTCTACAACACCTAAACAAAAATTTATATTCTAAGAAAGCTGCATATCAAAAAACAATCCATCGGGACCGGCAGATGGTGTAACGGTTATGTCACTGGACTCTCATGTAGTTGACCGCGGTCTGAGTCCTGGATCCAGTGGCTTAAAACTTGGGCTGGGCGAGTGTGCGTGCATGTCCAAAACGCCATGAGAAGGCAATGTGGCGTGGACAAACCCCGGGGGAGGGGTATGTCTGTCTTTCTGTCTCTGTCTCGCTTTCTGTCTCTGTCTCTCCCCACATGCACGTGCCCTATAGCAAAACTTTCTCTTTAAAAGAAAAAAAGAGAAGAAAAAAAAGAAACCTCTCTTGGCCCCGCCAAACAGGTGGGCCCTCTGCATCCTCACAGTGCCACCAGTGGCCCCAGCCTGCCTGTTCTGGCCCCTTGGAGTCAATCCTCTCCACTCTGTGGTACTCTTCGTAACACAATTTTGACCAAATGATTTTTTGCTTAAAAACATTCAATAAACCTCAATTCCATCAGAACAGGGTCTAAGCCACTTCTCTCATGCTGGACGCCCCATGGTCTGACCTTGCCCACTGTCCACTCAGCAGCTGTGAGTTATGTTTCCAACACTCCTCACAGCTGCTGTCCCTCCAGGCCTGTGCACGTGCTCATCTGCCTGGAATGCCCTCTGTTCTCGGCTGTCCCTGCTCAGGAGTCCCGAGTTCCCCGGGAACAGGCACGTCTTCCCCACTCAGGCTCCTGCACCTGCCACCCACATCCCTTACAGTGTGGGCCTGGCACTGTAACTGTCGATATATCTGTCCCCACTAACGTGCAATTATCTCAAGGACAGGACAATTCATGTCCTCCTTTAACTGTCAACATCTGGCCATGTTTGGAATATAGTGTCCCTCCTTATCCATGGCTTCACTTTCTGGTTTCAGTTACCTGAGGTCACCATGTTCTGAGAGGGACAGAAACTACCTTCATGAGAACCAGAAGATGGCATAATGGTTACGTTGCTGGACTCCCATGTAGTCGACCACGATTTGAGTCCTGGACCCAGTGGCTTAAAACTCACACCGGGCGCGTATGCATGTGTGCCCAGAATCCCAAGAGGAGAATAGAGAAGGGATTGTGCCGTGGCCATCCCCCCAGAGGGTGATTTCTTACTTTCTGTCTCTCTGTCTCTCCAGCGAGCGCACGTGCCCTGTAGCAAAAAATCTCTCTAAAAAGAAAAAAAGAAACTGCCTTCATGTAATTTCTATTATAGTATATCATTATCATTGTTTTATTTTGTTATGAGTTATTATTGTTAAACTATGTGCCTAATTTATAAGCTAAACTTTATCACAGAAATGTATGTATCTACAGGGTCTGGTACTGCCCATGCCTTCGGGCATCCACTCCGGACCTTGGAAGGTCTCTGCGGACAAAAGAGGATGCTGTACAGCGTGACTGGTCAGTAACTGAACGACTAAGTGTGGAGGTAACAGAAGAAAATAGAGAATGTTAAATTGACACAATCTGTCCTAAGAGGAAGTAAATGGAAACAAACAGCAATTGTGAATTTCACTATAAGAAGACAGTGTGTAAACCCTGAAATAGCCAACAGAAACATTTTCATGCCCCGGATACAAACTATAGAGACTGAATGAGGGAAAATCATCTCGCTGCTGGAATTCAGGTATAAAACTGCAGTCGGAATGTGCCACACACTCTTGCTCATTAGGCTGGAGAAACTTCTCAAATTCCACACTCCCCATTAATAAAGGAATCACAGTCACAGCAGCTCATATCTGATAGACTGCAACAAACTACCACTGCATAATTTTAGGGCTAAAAAGGGTCTAAGAAACTTCCCATTTATCGATCCTGGGGCGTGTATGTACATGTGTGTGTGTGTGTGTGTGTGTGTGTGTGTGTGTAGAGCGAGGGAGGGAGAAGAGAGATGGGGACACGGTCCCGAGGAAAGCCAGAACCATGACAGAGCAGCAAGCTTGTGCACTTGGAAGCTTGCCATACGTGCCTCCACAACCCTGCCAGGGTTCCCTGAACGGCAGGTTCAGGCCCCAGGTCCGAGCACACGATCCCGGCCTCCATGCTGCTCCCCCACGGCCTCCTACCATTCCCCTCTTCTACCAGTCCAGCTACGCAAAGGCCTGCAGTTCCCCAAGCAAGCGATGGCCATTTCAGGGCTCCGCGGGTCTCTGTTCGCTGCTACTGCTGCAGGACCCATTTGTCTCGTGTATTTGATCACCTGAGAAGTGCCCGGCACTGCGGTGTGTTGCGGACCTAGGCAGTCTCGTTAATGAGTAACTAAGTGCACGGTGGTGCCAGTTACCAAGAGAGGGACATTTACACATGTCCTTTCCCTCCTGCTCGTCTGGAACCCAGCCTGTTTTCACCTCAGGGTGTGTCTCCTGCTTCTCCTGTTTACCTAGACTGAACTGGCCATCCTCACCCTGGAGTGTTTTACTGAAGCCTCAATAACTGGATTTTCTGCACAGTATCTATTAGGTCATCAGGAAACTCATGACATTTTCTATGCAAAACTGCATCCGGACTTTCCCAATGACCCCCAAAACACACTTCACTAAGCCTGCATTCAAACAAGGATCCAGCTTCACCTGGACGAGACAGTAACCCCCTGTCCAGGTAGGTCCTGTGTCAAGCACTTCTGCACTCCCAGGGCCTAGGAAGGACTCCATCACTGTAGCCTGAAAAAACGAAGCCCCCCTTTTTTGACCCCTTCTAATGATGGCTTTTCCATATTTAGGGGATAGAGCCTCAAAATTCCCCAACCTGGCCCTGTACCCATGTCTGTGGTCATGGTTTTATCCAGCTCTGGTGATTCAAGATTCACTAGCCTGTGGCAGCAGAATACTTTCTTTTTAAAAAAAAAATTTTTTTTTTTTTAGAGGTTTTTGGTATAGGGTGCGTGTGCTCACCAGGAAGACAGACACAGAGAGAAAGTGAGAAATCACCCCCCAGTGGGATGGCCACACCACAATCCCTTCTCTTTCACTCTCCTCTCGGGATCTTGAGCATGCACACACATGCGCCTGGCCTGAGTTTAAGCCGCCGGGTACGGGACTCGAACTGCAGTCGACTACATGGGAATGCAGCGATGTAGCCATTACGCCAACTGCTGGTCCCCAGAATTCTTTTTGAAAGTATTCCGAGTGATTCTTATGTGCAGCCAGGGTTGGTGTCACTGCTCACTCATTGGCCTCCTATACCACACTGGTACATGTTTGCTATCATTAAAGGAGCACACTTCCATGGCTCCTCACCCAGGTGTGTGATACAAAGAAGAGCCCGAGAGGAAGGTTTAGGTGAAGCATTTCTCCTGAACTGGAATGGTATTGCCCTGGCTTCTCCCCACATCCCCTGTCAGCAACAGGCATCGCGACACTCCCAGCTGCTAAAGCACAGAAAGCCGACAGTCAGCTGCAGGCTGCTTCCTCTTCCTTGGCCATAGCACTCAGGCCCCAGGGCTGATGGGTCACTGCCCAGGATATCACCCCACCTGGCCCCTCTCCCGCCCTCCCAGCCTCACTGCCCTGTCCTGCATCCCAGCAGCCAACCTCCACAGCCATGCATGCTAGCCTTATGCATCCGATTCCTTCCCAACCTGGCTATCTCCTTACGGCCTCTATGCAAGCAAAAGAGGTTACCCACACAGAATCACGCTAGGAACCTAATAGTTTTCCTATAACTTCCAAAAATAGAGTCTCCCATAAAAATGAAGGTTTTATCCTTAAGAGTGTGTAAATATTTCCTGTAGGAAATACCTCCTGCCTACTTCTTTAGTTTTCTGTCCCCTTTATTCTTCCCTAACTGGTCCCTCCAAATGCACAAGGGAATGGCTTTTGTTTTCCAGAGCTCAAGGGCTTTATTACAAATGGAGTTGACTGCTACAGAGGCGCCTGCCCAATATTTGTCATAGACTTCTTTCCCCCCTTCACACCCCTCTCCAGGGGAGGTCAGGAAGCCATTATGGAAGAGGAACCTAGGGAGAGTAACAAAGGGCAGTACTTTCTCCAAAGTCCTCTGTATTAGCCACTGAGTCCTTCTCGCTCTAAATGAATCTTCTCATAGAAGAATTAAGAATTTCAGCTCTCAGGACCAGCAGTTGGCA